TCATTTTAAAAAGTGCACCTATTATGGTTTATGGAGTTTATTCAGCCATGCATGCGTGTATTTATTTATTTGGATTGATGAATAGCTGTCATTTGTGTCTTTGTTCTTACTGCTTAAATTATATATTTAAAATATCTGATGGCCATTGTGTCAAATGCATCTGATCTTTAGCAAAAACATCTTTAAACATTAAGGAAAATAAAAATAGATGCAAGCAGTTAATCCACTTGCTATTTGATCAATGAGTAATTTTGGGTTCCTTCTATTTCTTTTTAAATTGTATGAAAGCCTCAGTTCCTAACCTTTAATCATCTCATACCACATAGTGTGGTCATTTGAGCTTTCCCTTTTGATCTTTCTTCCTTGTCTGCACACATAGCCTACGTCTTTTAAAGTATCACTCAATCTAATTCGTCTAAATTTAATGTGGTGTACAAACTATTTTACGTTTGTTACTCTGATTTGAACTCTTTGTAAATGATGCTGTGTAACTCAAAAGTGCTTTATGTGGTCATATCTAAACTAAATCAATTATTTTACTTAAAATTATGATTTAATATGACTTAACCAGTTGGTTACATTAACGGGAGTCATTTTAAGGGTCAGATTTTCACTTTTTACAGCCCATTCAGCTTATTAATGAAATCCAAGATCTGTTGCTTTTCATGTTCCCTTCAACCGACTGTTAGAAACGAAAACTTTTTATACGTATCGACAAATACCACGTTTGCTGTGTATGTTTCTCCGAGAAAAAGCTAGAAAACCCACATATTTTCATATATTTAAATTATTTATTCTAAAATAAATAAATAACGCAATTAAGTCACTGTACATCAAAGCTAAATGTGCATTAAAAGAGAAAGACTGAAAAGGAATGCAGCATAAATATTTTTTCTTTTTAAATTCAGATATGTCCATTCCTAAGTTAAAATATCTCTTCATTTCAAACGCTCTCACGAACTTCCCCTCCAACTCACAAAACCCGCAACAATTCCGTTTCAAAACTACCTGATATTATCACTCTAAATTATCATTCAGTATCCAGACATTTTTCGAATTTCACAACAGATTTCATGAATTCACATTCAGGAAAAACAACAACAACAAAAAACCTCCCGAAACATTTCGTGAAAACATTTCATTCCACTCAGGTGCCAGAAGGGCTCCTGGAGGGTTTTCTTTTTCTTTTAACATAAAAACTCGGAAAGGTTTCGCCCCTTTGCATCGAGCGTGTCGAGAGGCTTATTGAAGACCCCTGCTCCCCCACCCCCTACTCTCTCTCTCCCTCACACACACACACACACACACACACACACACACACACACACACACACAC